ATTTTTTTATGGCCACCAACTTATTCGTGGCTGTGCCCTTTGTCGGGAAAATCGGCTAAAGGGTACCACTACTACTTTTCGGCTCTCCCACACAGTGCTCGGTCTACTCCTAGCGTATTTATACTTTCTCCATCTGCATCCGTACGTAGCGCGGAGACGCTAAAATATGATTGAGCATACAGAGTGAGGTAAAGGGAAAAATAAGAAATTAATACCTCACAGCTGAGCGGTCGCGCATGCGCGAGCATAGTTAAGAAGAAACAAAAGGACCGTTCGAGGGGGTCAAAGAGGCGTCTGTCGATCGAGAGGAAAAAAAAAGAAAAGTTGAAAAGGAGACCAGAGCAAAAAGTCATTGCTCGTAGAGTTAATTTGACATTGGAAGGTGGCAGCTCTTAGCGAGGCTGACGAAGCTCAATCGTGGTCGGCGGAGGCATTGTTTTTCTTTTATTTCACCCCGCGCGTACACATCTCAATTTCTTCGTGGTGTAATTTTTTATTTTTTTTTTCATTTTTTTTCATTTTTTTTTTCACCTCCTTTTCCACCACCGCAAACTCTTTCCTTCTTTTTCTCTCTCTCTTTTTCACTCTTTATTTTTCTCTTTTTTTTTTTCTTCTTTTTTTTCAGCGAACCACCGACTCCTCTCGTGGTCTCGCTTCGATGCGCTAAGTGGCCCTCTTCCCATTTAATGACAGGCCGGCCTTGTGCCCTTCTTCGATTCACCTCGCTACTCACTGCTATTCTTATTTCTAGTCGGTGAGAAATTACAAGACGCATTCTCATGTGTTACCTCGTACGCGATTACGTCGTATGTCTAAATTACGTTGACGATAGTCAATCCTGCGCGTTCGAAGCGTCGGGCTATCCTACAGAGATCTCTAGTATAAATCTATGGGTGTTGAAAAAAAAAAAAAAAAATTTTTTAAATTAAAAAATGAATAATAACAATCAGGCGAAAATATGAATACCGCATGGTTATTTTTTTTTTTTTTTTTTTTCGATACCAGCTAATATTCAAGAACGTGGAAGGATCAAAGAAGAAAGGGAATGGCAGAGGGAGGTGACAAGGGATCTAGGGCTCTATTATGTCCTCAGAATGCAGGTGTCGGACTGACTCGACAGGACGAAAGATCCTTCGCAGAGCCAGCGAAGAAGTGGTCATCCCAGCGCAGATCAAAGATTGACGCCGCTGATCTGAAATGCCATGCTGGACCTTCTGGTACTATTCAGATACTACCGTAAATAGTAATAGGTACTGTCGTGAGCGTCTTCCGTGGACTGGCCATCGGATCCAGAAACTTGATTCCTGCGGTAGGCTGCGTACCAGTGTATGGATCCCGAAGATATTAACGAATCAATAAGAATTCGCTGACCGCCCGTTAGACAACAGATAAGATAAGCACGCGAATTTGTGTTATCGTAAATTTGATAAAAATTCACGATGGTAGAGGCCAGATGAAAGTATGGCTAAAATGAAAAGTATATATGATAAAAAAAAGAGAGAACTGGGTACGCGTTACTTTAGGTAGAGATTCGGAGGGTAGCGAAAGGTGGGTACCGAGTCCGAGGTTTGGTATAACGTACAGAGCGACATGGTAGAGACTTGCGCGTAAGCGTCCTATTGATTTCCTGTGTAGCCCAGACCCGGTGGGTGTTAGGGACTCTCATCCTGAGGGTAACGCGTCCTATAGGTAGCGAAGCTGGTATACGGTACCGAGGAACGAATCAGAATTCAGGTGGTGCTCCCGTCATGGCCGACGAATCTGCCTATGAGCGACGAGATGAGATCGTAGAAAAATTCCAACAGCGAGCAGACCAACGTTTAATATTCAGGGAGCACAGGGATCGACTGATCTTGTAATCGACTTCGGATCTTAGTGGTCCAATCAGGCCACGAAACCCGTAGATACAGCCTACTGATGTCCCTGTGGATGCTGTGCCGAACACGTTTTACATGGTGTTAACCAGTTCGAATGTTATAAAGGGTAGGTACCTATGGGATGCTGATGGGTGCTGGACCAGGATCTTTTACCATACGTGAAACAAAAAATTGGGACGCGTCAGGAACCCTGTCTCGAAAGACTGGGTTATGTGGTCCAGAGTGGGAACACGTGGAGTGAGAGAAAATTATGGGATGGGTTAGAGAGGTTATAGAGGGGGGAAGATCTTGTGAGGTAAGGGAGTGTGAGAGAGAGAGGGAGAGAGAGAGGGAGAGAGCAAGGGATGCCAAGAGCGGACTGTGAGGGCCTTCATGGGCAGAAGCTTTTAGCCGGGCTAGATGGTGCCGAGATAACGGCGCACCGAAGTGCAGAGTGCGCCACGGTAGTAGTGGACTTGTATGTTTCTATACTGTACGGGCTTGTAGTAACGGCAATGTTTGACTTGCTTACCGAAGAACGCACCTTTGTCAGACCGAGTATAAAATCGGATAGACAACAGGAGAAATGAGAAGGTGGACCCGCGTGGTATAGATTGAAATAGAGTGAAACGTGTTTAAATTATTTTTTATTTTTTTTTGAAATTTTTAATTTTTCAAAATATTATATCTCAAGTACCGTTCTTACCCTTTCGGGTAATAATGGTATTTACGAGGGAGTTTTCTGCACCATTTAGGAAACTCGTGTAGATGCGTAAGTAGAGGATATTCCGGGTTGGTTTAAGCCTCGGGCGAACGGGGTGTACCTAGCTAGTTCCCCGGGGTGTAATAATTGATAAGGCTAATGAGGGTAGCCCAGGTATGCAGGAAGTAAGGAAATACGTAAATAAGGTAACCGGGCGTAGGTAACTAGGAAAGCCAGTGCGCGAGTAAGGGTATAGGGACGAAGGGCCTACGGGGATGGGTGCAGGTAGGGTCGTAAATAAGAAAATAGTTACGAGCATCCGCAATGTTTTGATCGGAGAGATTTTCGTGGCTGGAAATTATCGTAATTCACATGAAAATCGTGGGTAAAGTCCAGGAGCGGTAAAGGCAGAGGTACGTAATGGGGGTGTCGTTGGGGCTTTACGCGGGCATACCTCCAAGAGTTCTATACGTGTCCGAGCACTAATAGCAGTGTACCCGTACAATGGTATCTGGGTCCGATTTTGGTAGCGATGACGACGGCCTAGTACTTTTTGGGGTATCGTCGATCTGCGAGGTGAAGGTTAGGTACGCATCGCGTAAGTCCTGGCGCCAGGCTTTACGATCTGGTCCTACCGTCCTGCAGGTAGCAGAAGCCCGCGGGACTTTTACTGCGATAATCCTCGGGGGCCCCGTACGGTAAACAAGGGCGCGACGCTCTTTGGGTCCCGCGGGCTCTTGATTTTTATTTTCTTAATTTTACCGGGACTCCCGTCGAAACACGGCGGAGCTTAGAACAAAGGGCGAAGGAAAAAAGTTTGTTCTTGTACGCTCGGCCTGCCGCTTGTCAAAATCACGGGGACTTAAGGCCCAGTTATTGACAGTGTGTCGATGCGGGTCCCGGTCCGTTCTTACGTCATTGGTATTTCCGAAAAATCAGCCGAATCTTGGACGGGCCCAAAGAAAGGCGCACGGGCCCAAAAAAAAAAGTCTATCGCGATAATTCTCTCTCCTCCTAGCTGCTACCGGGTACCGCAAAGAGAGCATTCGTAAATAGGTAAAATATCCAATCCTCCTAGTGACAATAACTAATCCATTTCTCATTCTGGGCCAGTGCTTGTAATCCCATGGGCCTTACGGTCCGCTTCTACAGAATAGTTTTGGAATCGATCATCGCGCAAGGCTGCCTTACAACATTACTTTCACGGATCCGCCTAGATCTAAAGTCGTTGAGGGTGTTTCGCGCGTAGCGACCACTTTTCTTTTGGGTCTTACTTTTACTCACGCTAGTTTTTTTTTTTTCTCACCACCTTTTCTTCGTCCCACTTTCACGTCATCCCTTTTTTTCCAAGTCCGCTAAAACTTCCCGGCAGCCGCTATATACACGCATTGGCACGTATGTATGTATAACGGTAGACGTCGGACGCCGCAAGGCCTAAGACGAAACGGGATGACGTAGAAGACAGGGGCCTTACAGTGGAGAAGTGGGCCTCTTAAGCGGCTCAGCGTATGCCAGCGTAAAGCCGACAAAGCTATCAGCACCGAATGCATATTGCCAAGGCAGATGCTCCGCTTTGAGTGCCGAGACTTCTCGAGTGCCGCCATGTGACACGCGAACTTCTCTCGTAACACGGGTAGGACCGTGGATGAGTTTTGGTAAGGCCCAAAAAATTTTTGCTCTCCAAAATTACCGTGGGTCTCTTCGATCGGGTTAATTATGAAAAATGAAACCCCGAAAAAAAAAAAAAAATTTTTTTTTGCCAACCTCAAATTTTTCATAGCACCCAAAAATTCAGGGTCCCTAGATAACGTACAGGCGACGATCGGTATGCATTATTTTTCTATCGGTACAAAAGACATACGGACCGGGCATACAAGTTTCTCCGAATAAAACTTTCCAACCGGCCAGCGATCCCCATTAGTCATCCCGATGAATAATTGCAAGATCAAGTCCCGAGGCACAGTCCCCACAAAAATGTTAAATTACTCTAGAAACAAGGCCCCGAAAGCTCGATACCCACCTATAAAGTCCGCTACGTGTTTTCGTTCTTCTAAAATTCAGACGCCACGGGTTTTACTTGTGTCGATGAGAATTCGTACGGGGCGGGGGGCCTCTGCACCGTCGGCCTGGAGTATCGTCGCTCCTGGATGCCAGAGAGTGGCGGTCATCGGCGAGAGGCCTGAAGAGAGCTGCGAGGGTTAGAGGGAAGCGAAATCGATTAGGGAGGTCGGCCATTTTGTTGCTGGATCCGTGGGCTGATCCAATGAGATTCCGCGGAGGCGTGGAGGCCAATACGAGGCGTGGTGGGTTCTCTACACGCAGGGGCTCCGAATCTCGCCTAACCCGATGCCGGGGAGTGGGACGAAAATAATTGAGAAGTGGGGATAAACGTAGTGGGGATCCGGCACGATAGACCGAGGAAAGTCAGTGCCTCTCTGGGCCCCGTGTCGTCGACGTCGTGGCTGTTGATTTTCTTCGTGGTTTACCGGTCGCTTCAAAAGTAACCGGCTTGTCATTGGGTCTCTTGCATATATATATATATAAGCACGCAGAAAACTATATATATATATATCGATACATATATTTTTCCTCTCCCGTACAGACCCAAAATTTTTAAATGGCACACGCAACATATGTATATATTTATATTTGTGTACCTACGTGTATATACGTAACGTGAATTATGTTCTATGGTGTCGTGACACGAAGACGTTAATGGATTATAACAAAAAGAGAGTGACAGCTGCATCTTGCTACACAAAAATTCCTTTGCTACTTGGATACGTTATTTAAATTTATTATCAAGCTTCGTAGGCTTCGTACCTTAACAATTTGACGGCCAGGGGCTGAAGTGCAATTTGAAAAAAAAATATGAAATTTTATCACGGTGACCTGTCAGACCGTTCGAATCCTTTGTATTTATCGTTGGAACTCGTCCTACTGTCTGACAATGGTAGCAGCATGTATTCTTGATGCGACCGAGTGAAGTACGTGAAGATAGGGAAAAAAAATTTTTGAAAAAAATCAAAACCAACTGGGTCCAGACGCTTTTCGGATGGTTCGATAAATCAGTGTTAAGAACGTCAGTCGAATTACTGAGCTTGCAGCTGTTCTTCGTCATGATCAAGAAACTATGAGGATCCTTGGAGAAATTGCGATAAAGTCGACCGAGGGACAGTCGGGATTTTTGAAGTCTGGATGAACGTTGGGTCGTCGGGCGAGTGAATAGGGTCAGGACCGGTGAGCACGTTCCTGTATCTTTTTCTTCCGACGGTGTCAACGGTGGCGGATCGTAAGGAAATAAAAAGTGGGAGGAATCCGTCAAGATTGCTCGAAAGTCGTGTGAGATCCGCAGAGTCGGACGAGCTGCAGAGATTGGGGGTTCCAGCGTGATGCAGCGGGCGGGCCCCGGCGGCGGGCCCGGGCCCCTAGGACTTCAGGGCCCACATAGGTCCCTGAAGATATCGCCCGTCAAGATCCAGGACGAGTGTGGCAATCCCATGTCACAGAGTACGTATCAGTAGAAATTTCAATTATCTTTCTTCGTATTACAAAAATATTTTTCCGAACACCTTCCGACGGTCCCAAAATTTATTCGCTTCGAGAAATCAGGCCCCGCTGGGAGTCACTTTTCATCGACTGCACAACTGCTTGTAACACGGAAGATCGTGGAGTACATGAAATTGGTCTTTTCAATTTTTGTTGAAAAAAAAAAAAAAAAAAAAAAAAAAAAAAATTTCACCGATCCGTAAGTCCCTGCACGCGCGTCCTTTGCACTCGAGGATCATGAACCCGGTTGGACGTTATCGTAAAATATGGTTAATCACGTTTTTCATACTAATTACCACGATCAATGGGAGTGGTGATATTTTTTTCAAAATGAAAATCCTGGCAAAACTTAATTCACACTTCGTTCGGGACTTACGTAGGTCCCAAAATATAAATATATCACTGTAGCACGGTGTTTTAGCCCGAGGTAACTAGTGGCGTATGTAACGAGGCGTAACGTGACGACAATGGGTCAATAGTGAGAAGGTACGGGAGACTTCAACGGGCTGGAAAATAGGGGATGATTCTTTGAGCCGCTCTAATCGCCGATATTTTCTATATCGAAAAAGCCAACCCCTCGGGCATGCGAATGGGTCCCATTATCTTAGACGGTTAACTAAGTTCGGTGTGGAGTGTCCATTAGGAACGATTACCACCCTGCATCGTTACAGACCGTATAGGTCGTCATAGCGTTACAACCCTTATGAACGCGTATGGATATTTACGACTGCTATTGCAACCCCGAAAATCTTAATACGCCCCTGAGCTAATGACGGGCCCATTTTCTGGTCCCTGGACCGCCGCGGATTTTAATCAGGCAAAGTGCCCGATCGAAGGTTGACCAAAGGGTCCCCGGTGCAGGGGGTGGTTGGGTGATTTAGTTTTTGGCCACTGCGAGGAGGGTGAAACTGGCAAGAGGGTAGCTGGGTATGGCTCGGTACAGTGGCGCCCCCACCGAAGGTGGATAGACGCGGAAGCACGCTCCCGAGCGTAGGGGATGATTTTGGTATACGGGCCACCCCCAACCCCCCTTTGAAATCATCAGCCGATTAGAGTGCAGATGTTCTCATCCGGAGATTATGAGCCTTCTCTCTCACTCTGGATCTCCAGGCCCGTAGCTACCCCTCGGCCACCTTCTGGCACCCTTAGCTCCCTCGGAGGGTGCCCCACCCTAGGGTTCACCGAGGGGGTGGCTACGATCGAATTATCGCGAGTGTTTGCGGAGCGGCGGCATGCAATTGAATTAGGCCTACGCTTTCCTTGGGCTCCTTTACTACGAGTCGCACGCACGCCTTGGCGCCCACTCACGGAATTGTCTTTGCATCCATCCGGCTGGATTCATCCCCTATTTTCAACCCCAAGATACCATTTTGAGGTTGGGTATCGATGACAATCCAACTTAACCTCCAAGTGCAGAAACACGTTCGTATACGCAGCGTTGGGTAACGTGAAATTTCATTAAACAGCGAACAGAGCGCAGGGCCCAATTACTGACACCATAAAACTGAGAAAGGACAAAACGCACGGGCCCGAACGATTTGTAGGAAACACTTGACATGCTTGAAAAATAGACACTTCCGGGTGTGACTTTTTTCCAAATCAAAGGACCCAATGGCTCAGCCACCGAGCAGCAGGCTGATGGGCCAAGTCACTCGGAGCGGTCAGGCCCTGAACTACCTCAGCGAAGAGGAGGCTGGTCCTAACTAACGTAAGAACAGTCTGGGTCCCGGTCGGGCGCTAACGATGGTCAACGGAGGCTATCGATGTCCTGGGTCCTGGCGCCAGGACCCGGGGCCCTTTACAAGCAGTTGGGCCCGTGGCGCCTTCTGGACTTTTTCCACTCATAAAACCCTTGGCTGTCTTGGTTCATCTTTTTTTTGTCTTCCCTCCTCGGTCACCCTCTTCGACACTTCCTGTCTCCAGTTCATCGGGCCACGGCCAATTTATCTCGCAATCTCAAAGTCTCCGTCGCGACGCCACCGGCTCAATCGTCGAAACCGTGAATTTTGAAAATTTTCATCAAGCCGTCCTGGACCTGATCGACCAAGACGTATGATCTTTCTCATACTCTGAACCCTCCTTTACCCTGGGTACGAACTTCCCTTTTTCCTTCAGCTTCCACGTAAACTCGTAAGGATCTACCGCACACGTAGTCCCAATGTCCAGCGTTACCATTCGGCTACGGATGATCGAGATCACGGTGGAAGGAAATGAGGATCAAGGATCAAGAGGGCCAAGTCCAGGGGAATTAGAACCTGCTCTTGGGCGACGCTTGGGCGCCTTGTGGACGCGAAGGAATGCCGGTTGCTGATAAAAGAGCCGCTCGAACACCTACATAAATTTACAGGGATATCCGAGGACGGGCTTTCGTTCATTTAGTGGTACAACCTAAATTTAGTACGGCTATCTGCCGACTACGTGGCGCTCTACTTCTCATTCTCTGATTGCGTTTATATATATATATATATATACATCTTACATGCTAACTGCTCCTAAGGTCTTTGGGTATAATTTTTCTAAAATTCGAATTGGGCCTCCCTCAAGTCAGTAGTCGATTCGCGTCTCCTCCTGGGATCGGTCTCGGGTGTATGCACGCTTAAGGGTATTCAGCGTCGCGGCGCCTCGCCCATTTTCGTAACATGGGTCCCGCAGGCAGCCTCCTTCTCGGATCCTTGGATTCCGTAGCCTTTCTTGTTCCTGATAAGAAATCCCAAAAAAAGTTGAGACACGGGTTAGGTTGGGTTTCGAGTATCTCTTTTCGGATAGAACGAAGACGAGTTCTTTGTTCGTAAGTGAATATAGTTACGGCAGCTCGGCAGCCGTAAGAATACATTGTAGTACGTGATTTACCGTAGAGATGATTTTTCGAAAAAAAATTAATTTTTTTGTAAATCAACATTTTTGACGTTTCTCCTTGGTATTTCGGAATCTCCGGAATTTGGTACCGTCGTATGCCGAATTCTTTGCAAAGATCTCGTGCCTCGTCGAGGCTATCGCGGACGAACGGCAGAAATGGAAATTGGGATAAAAAGGTTAAATAATTAGCGAAGGTGTTAATGAAATACCGGCGGAACGCGCGGGACACCCAGTCGGCTTCTCTGAACTGCCAACGACCAGACATCCTCGACACGCGGCCCGGCGCCGTTCCCTAACCTCTATCTTCTCTCTTTCTTCCTCCTTCGCTTATTTCACATCTTCCTCTCTTTCCTTTTTCTTCTTCTCCCACACGTTGACGCACCCTGGATACTTACGGAAAATAAAAAGATCCCGTACTATCTGACCCATGCCATTGGAGCTGTACGGTACCGATCCACCGCACTCGTCCTAGGAGAAGAGTTCCGTCTTGGTACCTGGATCCTCCGGCAGGATCGCGCAGATCGGTCACGTGACAAACATGAGAAATAAATTTTGAGTATCGGTTATGATAATTTTTTTTTTTAAATTTTTTTATGCTTGGTAAATTTTTTTTTTTTTTGTAAAATTTTTTTTTTTTTGTGGTAGGCTTGTTTTGAATTTTATTTGAAACTGGCGAAAAATTGGCACGGCATACGGTGCCATCTTGTGTGAATCCGTAGAACGACAGGGAAAGTTCATAAATATTTAAATGGCGTGCCGTGTCTTTAGCTTACACAAAAAAGTTTCTTTGACTCAGTCCTTGGATCGGAACGGGCTCCTCGGAACATGAGCATTAACTGTACCTGGTGGAATCGAAGGAGGAATAACAGCGTACAGGATCGGGATCGGGATCGGCTAGGTACATACCTGATCAGGTACATGCCTATACGTTATGCATGGCGTGCACACCTCTATGGGGCCCCCACGACCAGCTACGGAGATACGAGGCGAGCTGGTTGTCGTTGGAAGCTAATGGGACGCCGCCGACACTCTCGAAACGTCTTTGATCCTAGCCGCTTCTGACCCTTTAACTTCTCCCACCGTGCCAGTACAGCAGGCCCCTTCCAACGGGCCCAACTTGTTCTCCCTGCCGCTGAACTTCTTTGACTGTACGCACTCGCGGTACGGGTCTTGTAAGGTTCTCGAAAGACATTGCAATTCGAGTGAGACTGAACCTGTACAATTTTCGGACTTTGAGCATCTTTTTGATAGGGCCTATTTTAATTTTCTTTATATCTCCCAGGAAGATCGTTCGGACTTGGATTTAATTCGGTTTTGACGATTTGGTTCGTGTCTGTCTGACAGCTGTCAGACGAACTGTGCTGCGATGATTGATTTTCTTTTGGGCCTTATTGGTAATACAAGTTGAGAACCTTTTTCGGTGTGGGTGTTACCCAAGCACTGATTGGTCCCTTTTACTTAGGACACGCCTCTCGTAGCCACGCCCACGTTCTACCGGTTCAGGAGTGATTCGCAGCAGAGATTGGCTTGAATCCCCGTCCTCGTTCTATATTTTCACTCACACGAGTACTCGACCAATCACAGCCACGTTCCGCCAGCCCTTTCTGTCAGTTAAATCACCGATACGGTAACGCCCGTGTTTTGGATAAAAATTTTTTTCAAAAAAAATTATTTTTTTCTACCATCAACTTTTAAAAACGGTTCAACCCCTTTTTCGGCTTAATCCGGGAATCCCATTGAAGTAACTACTTCAGGACTTACATTCGATAGAAAAAATTTTATTACCCGATTACTCATTTTTATCAAGCCGTTCCCGTTCAATTGTCCTTCGTTATCAGTGATATCGACTTTTGAATAACTGACAAATACTCATCGTTGTCCCTTTCTTATTTACTTTCAGAAGCCAGCAGCTCTCTATGCGTGGGTTGCGGCAGCATAATTCACGATCAGTGGATCCTGAGGGTAGCACCGGATCTCGAATGGCACGCGTCGTGCCTGAAGTGCGCCGAATGCCAGCAATTCCTCGACGAGACTTGCACGTGCTTCGTACGCGACGGCAAGACGTACTGCAGGCGCGATTACGTCAGGTAAGTTTCTTGACCTAAAAAAAAAAAAATTTGACAGTTCGACATAAAAATTGTTCGCGCTTTCCTGAGCGGTAAAAAAGCAAAATTCGAGTCAATAAAAAAAAAAAAAAAAAAAATATTAACCCCGATGAATTTTTCACTCCGGTCCCATCTACGGACCAATATAGAAAGGGCTACTGACAGCAAGTTTTAACAGTTTGACAGAATGTTTATTTGAATGGATCCATCTAACGCGAGAACGAGCCTCGAAAAAAAGCATCCTGACGCGAGCATCCGGTTCTGCCGATGTCTCAACTCCGTCTCTCTCCTTCCTTCTTTCTCCCTTCTCGCTCCGTCTCTCTCTGACTCCTTAGACCGATTTCTGCGATCCCTAGGTCGAACCTGAGTTACTAACTGAGCCAACAGAACGCGGATGACACGTTTGTTGCTCCTGTCATGTCAACCTGTCACACTTGACGATTAAATAATCCGCGTGGGTGTTCCCGCCATGTGCCCACCCACGTGCTCGACTGCCCGATCCTATTTTCGATCATTGCCAAATTTTTCATCTCCCTTCCCCACGTGGCACCCAGCCTCGATTTTTCTCTCTCTACTTCCCACAGCGAAACAGTCGTTTCTCGTGTCTTCGGCTTTGCGCGACCCTGCGAATATACAGGAAATTCGCACATTAACGATACGTTATCACGTGGAATAGTCGTTGTTGAAAAAAATGAAAAAAAAAAATTTTTTTTTTTTTTTTTTTTTTTTTTTTTTTTTTTTTTTTTTTCATTATACAATAATCACCCATCTTTCGTACAATTACAAACTGTCTAATTAGCTGTTAATTATAGTCCGATACCATTCTTGTCTAATCTAACCTGACGTTTATCGACTCACGTCACTTCCTCCAATTATCCTCGCTTCTAATGGTCGCTCGTTAATATCCTCTATTCGACCCGCTAACTTTGACTTTCAGGCTCTTCGGTACCAAGTGCGACAAGTGCAGTCAGTCCTTCAGCAAAAATGATTTCGTGATGCGGGCCAAAACGAAAATCTATCATATCGACTGCTTCCGGTGCTCGGCCTGCATGCGGAAGCTGGTACCGGGTGACGAATTTGCCCTGAGACACGACGGCCTCTTCTGCAGACTGGACCACGACGTTCTCGAAGGCGGGAAACTCTGTTCGGGTCCTGGTGCCGTATCCGGGAACGAGAACAACAACAACGCCTCCCTGACGAACAACAACAATCATTTACATCCGAACGACGGTTCAATGTCCGGTGAGTGAACGTACATTAGTCCAATGCCGTGTATGGTATACCCCTGGTACAGCCTTCAGGAGAGTCGCGTATTTCCAAATCGTGGATCAAGGGATCTCGCCTACCGGTCATCCCTCGTATAATTCATGGATGAACTTCGGTCCACTTGACGCCTCTCTGATCCTGAAATTACGATATTATCCATTTGGATTAACATTGTCAAATAGAATCTGCGTTATATTATGTTAGGACAGGCTGCCTGTACTTGGCTGGTAATTATTGCTCCGCCACGTTACGCGGATGATGAAGGATCTGAGCGGTATATGTTGCGAGGATCCGAACGGGGATCAGGAATAGGATGCAGCACGTGTGAAACCCTGGATTATTTTGGCTTTGTCCACGCCGCCTAAATATTCCACTGGACGACCACCCCCGAAACACACTTCGGAAACCCTTCTGTACGTCCCTTCGAGTATCTGTAGGCGCTGCTTTATTCAAGTGGTATCTCCGGTCTGGGTAGAGTCGGATATTTTCCAAGGGATCGAAGAAGATCCATTTTTTTTCTCTCTTCAATTTTCTGAAATCAATAATTTTTCTTTTAGGTTAAATTTTTGTAAATTTTTTTTATACCGCACAAATATCGTTGCATTCTTATATGTCACCGGGTATAGGTAAATCTCCCCTCCGAAAGACGGTAGCAGCTCTTATGGGATTTTTATTACCGGCGGGGAAGAGGATTGTAAAACTTAAAGGGAGATGGAAGAGAAATAGAAAGAAGAGACCAACGTAAATCCAGTGGACAGGGCCGTATGCTGGAGGTGTCAAATGTAACACCATCCCGTCAACTACCGTCGCACACAGAGACGCGTGACTTTTTTCTCATTTTCTAGTTTTCTTATTTATGCATCACGTATCGCTTGGTATCCTTCGTCTTTCTTTGTCTTGTTGTTTAATATGTTTTTTAATTTATATTTTTGTATATTTTTTTTTTTTTTTCACTTGAAGCTATTATATGGTTAGTCTGTATATGTCGCCGGGGTTTGGTCTCAGGTTTTTTTTTTGGAAATTTTTTGACATTTTTTGACAATTTCGGAATTTCGAAATTGCTTGATCCGACGATCTTAAATCGAAAACGACTATCGCGTACCGGTGATTGATAAACGAATGGACTATTTGATTATCTACGATTTTCGTGGAATCGATTGGTCATCGAAGAACGATTACAGAAATTTTATCGAGCGTATCGTCAATTCGAGAGATGAGAATCGATTAAACGACAATTTTGATTATTGCTTGGTCGAGTGATTTTTTTTTTTTTTTTTTTTTTTT